CTTAACGGGTCGTGTTCGTGTCACCCCGTTAAGAAAACGGGTTGACCCGTTAACGACCCGGAACCCGTTAAAACGACCCGTTTGCCAGCTCTACCAGTATTGGTCACAACAGCATTATTGCCAAAATATTGCCTGGAAAAACTTCCGAATGGAGTCTGATATATCAAGCATAAAACTTTTATTTATTTATTATCAGTTATTTAAAAAATCATATACACATCAAGTTTCGTACACAAACTAAAGTGTCACTATGTCGTTTCTTTAAATTTGAGCCCACTCTAGACTTCATTTACTTTTAATAAGGTTGTCTGAGTAATTAATCAAATTCCTTTCATTAAAAAAAAATAAATTTAAACTTGTAATGTCATATAAATTTCTAGATTAACAATCATTCCATTCAAATGGACCTCAAATTTTAATTTTAATTTATTAAAATCGCAAATCGCAATATGCCACCCTTAAATTGGGTGGTGCACTTGAAAAATAATTAATTTGTCGTGGGTGTCCAAAGAATATTTAGGATAAAACACGGGTGTCCAAAGAATTGGCCTTGAACTAAGTTCGGATTTGGGCCGCTTGGCCTATAAAGATCTTAACGACGTCACTTCAAACCAAATTCTATTGGGGATGCAGATTCTTGGGAAAGCCCAATCCAAACTGGCTCAAAGTTAAGAGTTGGTTTGGGCTATTGAGGACAATATCGTAATTTCATTCACTACGTTTGTACTAAAGACCTAGCTCGGCTGCCTCACTTGTCTCAAACCCTAGCCGCGTTGCCGCAACTCCAGGAGCAGAGAAACCCTAGAACTCTCCTTCTTCCAAGATGGGTACATCTCACATCACTCTCATCTTCTGGAAATCATATTCATTTTCTGTTTTTCAACTTCGTTTCAGTGATGGGTACCTGTGAATTTGCTCTTGTGATGTTTTGTTTTCTCTTTTCGCTTTTCGCTTTCATTTTTGTGATGCTAATCTTCAAATATTGTATGGCTTATAGGTATTTCCCGAGATTCCATGCACAAGAGACGTGCCACTGGAGGCAAGAAGAAGGCATGGAGGAAGAAGAGAAAGTAACTTTTGAATTGCTTTTCTTTGATTTAGATGCTTTTGTTGGTACAGATTGTTATACCGTGTTTTGATTCCTTTTCTCTTATTGTATTTTACGGGTCAGCCAAACAGAGACTAAAGTTTTCTAATTGATAAATGAATCAGAGTTGTACTTCTGAATAATGTGCTTCTTTTGTTTATCTAATTAATTCTTTCTTTCTTTCTTTCCAACAAGTAGGTAGTTGAAACCTTTGTGTTTTCATTTTGTTCGTTTCTGGTGAATGGATGATTTATGAACTAGCTATATATTTGCATATGTTGTAAGAACTTTAAATGATTTACAAGTTGTGTTCTTGTTATTTCTCTGATAATTTTTTTTATTATGTGTGTTTCACCATCTAATGCCTCTGGTCATAGCGTGTGTCTTAGTTTTGTTGGGCATACAGCACCAAAGCCTACATTTCTTAGATTATGAGAAGTGTTATTTAGTTTTTTGGTTGCCAAATTTTGCAAAATTTGAAGTAACACAAATCCCGTAGTGCTAAGTGGTTTAGGTTCCTGTCATGTTTGATATTAATTGATTACAAACAGTTTTTATATTTGTGTAAAATGAATTTACTTTAAAGCCTCAATGATTGCAGAATTGATTTAGTTTCAACTTGTTGTTTGAAGGTATGAGCTTGGAAGGCAACCTGCAAACACAAAGTTGTCAAGCAACAAGACAGTGAGGAGAATCAGAGTTCGAGGTGGAAATGTGAAGTGGCGTGCTCTGAGGCTCGACACAGGAAATTTCTCATGGGGTAGTGAGGCTGTGACCCGCAAAACCCGTCTTCTTGATGTCGTGTACAATGCATCTAACAATGAGTTGGTCCGTACTCAAACTTTGGTGAAGGGTGCCATTGTTCAGGTTGATGCAGCACCATTCAAGCAGTGGTATCTCCAGCACTACGGAGTTGAAATTGGCCGCAAGAAGAAAACTGCAGCTGCTGCCAAGAAAGAAGGAGAGGTAGGTCTCTATTATCTGCTTTGGGTTGGTACATTTATTAATTTTGTCTTTGTTTGTCCTAATGATTTAAGATATTTTGCTGTTCAAGGTAAGGTTGGACTTGCCTTTCGTGTTTTCCTTATTTCTGGAAGCATTGTATTAGTTTCTGAATCCTAAAGAAAATATATATGATGGTTTCTGGCATTGTGTTAATATGCTCACTTGATGGTGGAAAGAAATATATTTGTGCGCGGGTAACAAAATTTAAAGGAAGATTAATTTACTTCTGATGACTGCATTGAATGTGGTCAACAGCATTACTCTTTACTGTCTTTGATGGCATTTTTGTGTTATTTGTTTAATAGGAAGGTGATGCTGCTGCTCCTCCTGCTGCCGTTGCTGAGGAGGTGAAGAAGAGCAAGCATGTAGTAAGAAAGTTGGAGAAGCGTCAACAGAGTCGCACCCTTGACCAGCATATTGAAGAGCAATTTGGTGGTGGTCGTCTATTGGCCTGTATCTCATCACGACCTGGACAGTGTGGCCGTTCTGATGGGTATGTGACTTTATCTACCTTTGTCTGTTTCTAGTCAGCAGATTTGTCATAGGCACATTAGTGTAGTTGCAGTATTGCGAGGGCTGAAATATGGTGATAACAGCTTCTTTTCATTGTTGTTTTAAAGTAAGGTATGTCATATATAATGGGTCTTATGAAATTTTTACAGATATATATTGGAGGGCAAAGAGCTGGAATTTTACATGAAGAAGCTCCAGAGGAAGAAGGGGAAGGGGGCCGCTGCTTAGAATTTTGTGACCAGAACTTTAGTCATTTAGACTCAGAATATGTTATTTCCTTCATCCTTTCCTACTTTTTGAGGGGTTGCACTTTATTTCAGTTTGATGTTGAACTGGTAAACACTGTTTCTATGGTTGAATGTTTAATCAGCAATTATATTTCATTTTGGATCTTTCTCTTTCCTTTCTTAAGCGTCAACACTTAGTTGGATGCTGCAGTTTCAAATGTTGGTGTATCCGTCGAAGTGTTTTGAGTTCAAGCGTTGAAATTTGATCTCTCATGTTGAAGCTCGATGCCTTTGAAAATGTTTTATGACGGTTTGCCTCTTAAGGTAAATTTATATACCGGGTTGTCAGGAGAGAATTTTCAAAATAAAAGATCAGTTTAGGAGAAAAGCCATTGCGCCTGCAATTGTACCTCCTCAATCCTCAGCTTTAATAGTAAAATAAGGGCCCTGAAATTCTTGTGCCAAAATCAACAAACAAGGCTTACTGGAACCTTGAAATCGTTTAGAAGTTCAAACCTTCTTTAGCGACATCAATGCTTTTTGTCTTTTCTGTCCGAAATTGGATCCATGAGTGCATTTTATCATAGAAAGATCACAGAAAACATATAACAGGGGCCCAAACAAACTTCATTTGATTCACAGGAAATGAATAGTGTGGGTAATAGTTCTAGCTTCTAGTGATGGGAATACTAGTAATAATAATGGGGAGAATAAGGTGAAATATCAATTTTTGTATTTATATTATTATTTTATTGGTGCCATACCTGTATCCTAGTTTTTGAAGATTTGCTGTATTAGCATATGATATTGTATCGCGGTACCTGTATCCGTATCGGTGCAACATAGATACAAACAGAGGCATTGGTAATGGCATATTGATTTATTTTCCTTGACATAAGTGGGAGTGTCATGCATGGTCAAGTTGTATAAACTATTGTAGTTTCTTATGAGTATGATTCCAACTATGGTACTTCAAGAAGTACACTATTGAAAACTTCATGCTTATATCTTAGGGTTTTTCTTTTTAAATTTTCTGTTTTTGCTTCTTATCACCACCTGACATGATCATGAGACATCCCTCACCCCTAGATCTGCTCTCACACCAACCAAGACACACATCTGGTATCCCTATGTGGGGATTGAGTTTTTGCAGACCTTTTATGGTCAAATTGATGGAATGTGTAAATTGATACAGTCATAAAACATTGAGGTGCAAATTGATGAAATTAAAAATCCGTGGCCCATTTCGATAATGCCTCCTAAACCGTGGGTGTCGTGGGAGTGTTGTGATAGGGGGAGGGTGGGTTTGATTTTGCAATATTTTTCTTTAATTTTTAATTGGGTATAATGTCGTTAGCCCTAAAGTTATATATTGTATGTTACTGTTGCAATCAAACTTTGTGGTTTTTGATAGGGCTCGTCAATGGGCCGGGCCGGGCTTTAAAGAGGAGAGAGAAAATATTGGGCCGGGCCGGGCCGGGCTTTTTTAGAAAATTCAAAGCCCAAGCCCATCTCATGAGCCGGGCTTGAAAAAGCCCATTGGGCCGGGCCGAAATGGGCCTAAAAAATAATAAGTGTAAAATATTAAAAAAACAATTTATAAGGGATGGTATGAATAAATATGCAAATGTTTGGTGATGTGTTAAAGAAAAGTATGATTATATTTGGTGGTATGATTATATTTGGTGATATGATATGTTGTTTGTCTTATTATATATATATATATATAATTGTTGTATTAATAAATGACACAAATTAATGTGCTAATCATCCAATTATAAACTAGGAATGAGTAGAATTCAATGGAAACAAACACAATTTTTATAACAAGTAACACACACAAAAAAATTTAAAGAGGGGATTTATCATTCAAGTGATGTAATCATAATCCTAAACCCTTATTTATACATAATTATATATGTATGCGGGCCTAACGGGCCGGGCTTTCATGGGCTTAATCGGGCCGAGCCTATGGGCCGGGCCGGGCTTCAAACACCCAAGCGGGCCGGGCCCTCTCAAAGCCCATAATGGGCCGGGCCGAGCTCTTTTTCAATGGGCCGGGCGGGCCCTGTAGGCCCATGAGCCCGCGGGCCAAATGATGAGGCCTGGTTTTTGATATGAAAACTTTCTACGTGGTTTGAAGATCGACAACGTGTTCGTTTGTTTAAAGGGGTCCCCAAACCGGTGTCGTTTGACGGTCCAAGAGAAAGAAGGCATAAAATCAGCCTCGAACAACCAAAACCACTCCTAAACCCTCTCAGTTTCAGACTTCAGAGCTGAGAGAGAAATGTTTCGGAGCCGAGTCGTAGCGTTGTTTGTGAAGAAGAACAGCAAAGCTCTGTACAATCTCTGGGGAACGACGCCGTCTAGGGTTCTGAACGAGGAATCTTATCGATTATTCTCTACTGGAGCCACACGGAAATGCTTGGATGGCTTTCAATCTTTGTCTAAGGTTCCTTTCTCACTTTGTTTTTTTAAATTATTTTGAATTCATTTTTGGTAAGTAAATTCGAAAAAAGCATATTAAAGTTCAGTGCTTTAGATTTTGTATGGTGGATTGTGAATGTTGAATTAGGGAAGCTTTTCGGAGCTTGGACAAGCTTTGCAGTTTCATTTTCAGCTGTGGAATTTCTATTTAAGCAGTATTTTTTCTGATAATCAAACAAAATCATTCAAAGATTTTGAGATCCAACTATGAGTTAATGGATTTGAAATTTCATTTTGTCATTGTAACCAATTGGAAAAGGAAAAGAAATTTAGATTGGAATTATAGAATCTTGAAATCTGTGAGTGTTAATGATGATAAAATGGTTGTTGAAACAGAGTATTTGAGGGGGGGAAACGTAAAATATAATATCGATTCACTAGGATGACACTGCAGACTTGTATTAGAGTTAGAGCCAGGAACTAAGGCTTTTCAGTTGTAGTGTATCATCGATTGCAGCTGCTTTTAATCTTTATTTTTCTATAGGTTGACTATCATTTTTTGAAGTAACTCCGTTTTCTATGATGAATAAATGCACAAAATGTGCCAAAAACAAATTTGTGCAATTTAATGTAATTAGGCTGGGATGTATTGTAAAATATTAAATAAAAAGGGAATTTCTTATGCCATTTTCAGGGAAATTATGTACCATCTATAAGGAATATGTCCACTGTTGCTTCTGTAGGCATAAAAAATAAGGAGGGATTGAAGCTTCTTGTAAATGGAGGACCCCGTGCTCAGAAAATGGTTGGCATTTGGCTTTTTGGCTCTGCTGCATGGGTGTTTAGTATGGTGATACTTGGTGGTATTACACGACTAACGCGATCTGGTCTTTCGATGACTGATTGGAAATTTACTGGGAGGCTTCCTCCTCTCTCAGATGAGGATTGGTTGCTTGAGTTTGGGAAGTACAAGCAGTCCCCTGAGTATAAGCGGTTAGTGCAAAGTGGAAACAACACTGGAAATTTTTGCATCATTAATTTTTAGTTTTCATTTTAAGCACTTTATAGCTCGTAGTGATCTGCCTCTAAACTTGAAATTACATTAAAAGTCTTCAAGAATTGCTTAAGTTTGTTTACAGATGCAATCCTCTATTGGCTGGAAGCAAAACAGAAAATATGTGCTTTGAACTGAAGGGCTATATGAGTAATGATAATTTTACCGTTCATGTGTCTTTCTAGCATTTTGTAGTTTACTTTAACCCAAATTTTGAGGATTGACGAATTACATATTTGATGTTACATTGTTGCTTTCAATGGGAGTTGAAGTTCTTTTGGACCCTTCTAATGTTACCTGGTTTTTGATCTCATGTAGTGTAAATCAAGGGATGAGTATTGAAGATTTCAAATTCATCTATTGGATGGAATATGCACATCGAATGTGGGGAAGGGCACTGGGAATTATGTTTGCGTTGCCCTTCTCATATTTTCTCCGTAAGGGGTATATTACCGTACAACTTGGACTGAGACTGTCTGCTCTTTTTGGTCTTGGTGCTGGGCAGGGTTTAATTGGTTGGTGGATGGTTAAAAGTGGTTTAGAGGTCAGATATGGTTTCTCTTGTCGTGGTTTTGATTGAAATTTAATAAAAGCGACGGATTTTTGAAATAATTCTGTCTCTTACAGGAGCCAGCATCTGAATATGCTCAGCCAAGAGTAAGCCCTTACCGTCTTGCAGCTCATCTTACTTCAGCCTTTGCTATATATTGTGGCCTTTTATGGACAGGTCTTTCTGTTGTCATGCCGGAACCACCTTCTGAATCACTAGCTTGGGTTCGTGGGGCAGCAAAGGTGAAGCAACTTGCTCTTCCTGTAAGCTTACTTGTCGGAGTAACTGCTGTCTCAGGAGCATTTGTTGCTGGGAATGATGCTGTATGTAATTTTTGTTTTCCTTCTTGCCTTTCACAATGAATTGAATGGATGATATGTGGCTTTTCCTGAGTAAGAGATTATAAATGTGCTTATGTGTGAAAATTCCAGGGGCATGCTTACAATACTTTTCCAAAGATGGGGGATACATGGATCCCAGAGGATGTTTTTGACATGAAGCCACTAATCCGGAACTTCTTTGAGAATACATCTACTGTGCAGGTATCTTTCTGACCAAAAAATATATTTTATTTTAGTTTTTTGTGACTTAATGTTGCTGTAAGTTATCTCCAAGGTTGCTTTTATGATTACAAGGGAAATTAAAATATTACCAAAAAAAAAAAAAGGAGTTAAAAATTGGAAAGATGTCTTATTTTAAGGTTCTTCCTTCACTAAAAAAAACATCTGTTTTCTGTAGGAACTTCTGTTTTGTGTAGGAACAAATGAAATGTGATTATGTCATCATCTTTACAGGAAAGTTATTGTTTTTAAAGCCATTGAAATGTGCTACGGCTAGCAGCAGTTTTTGTGTCTTCTTTGAGGTTACACTGTAATGTCTTGTGATGAAAACCATTTTCTTGAGGCGATTATGCTTTTGTGAAATTATGGAATTGTTAAATCTTCTACTGCGTATTAGCTTGTTCTTTAATCTTTTCAAATTTCAAACATGAAGTAAGGTTGTGATTAATTGTTGTTCTTCCTCTTTGTAGCTTGATCACCGTATCCTTGCAACTGCAACTTTATTTTCAATTGGTGCTTTGTGGTGGTCAACAAGGAAGTTTGACATACATCCTGCAGTTCGGTCTTTGATTGGAAGTGCTGTAGGCATGGCTGGCCTTCAGGTATATATGGTTTCCAACCTTTCATTCCTTTTTTTTTTTCTCTTCTCCTTCGAATTATTTCATTAGTTTGACCAGGTTGATTTGAATTGTTTTGCACAATTCGTTGTGTTATTGTTGCAGGTCACACTGGGAATATCTACACTGCTGTCATATGTGCCTGTAGAGCTTGGTACAGCACATCAAGCTGGGGCTTTGACTCTCCTGACACTGATGATCCTTCTCAATCACACTTTGCGTAGGCCATCGCCGTATCTTCTTAAATCTCTACCTCAAGTTGCAAAGACAATCTAGATGACTTTGTAGTACAATTTTGGAACAACCACTTGACATTTTAATTGGATGAAACAAAAAGATTTATTGGATTCTTGTGCTCTACGTATATATCGCTGGCGATCAAACCGGGAGTTATTTTCTAGATGTGCAGAGATGTGCTTGTAGTTTGGATTATGATTTCATTGTTATCGAGTGACCACGAGTTCTTGAGCTTACCGAGGACACCTTTTTTGGGGCAGTTTTGCATTTGGTAAATATTAATTTGTGATAGATATAGGTTCCGGTAGAATGATTTCTGATATGAGTTCTTTTTCTACCATAAGTATTTGTGTCTTATTATATATATATACTTGAAAGCTAGCCCACCCAGATATGGCTTTTCACTTGTCTTGATCACTCTCTTTTTGGCTATACGAAAATGATCAATTACTAGGCTTCATGCAAACACCAAAACACCAAAACTATGTTGCTTGAAAGTGGGAAATTATGGCAAACAGTAGGCTTCATGCAAAAGGAGCTAAGGAAAGCAAAGAATAGGCTTCATGCAAAAGGAGCTTACAAGAAAAAGTTGAGTTGCAATCCAAGACAGCTTCGTTATTTTCTGTAACTTGTTGAATGATTGAAACTGGAACATTTTATATATGATGCCTTTGGCCAAGAAGAACCCACAAACTATTGAAGAAAATTCCAAAAGACTTTCCTAGTGAATGTGCGTACACACCAACTTCCCACTTTGAACCCTAGTATGAGCAGCGGGACACAATCCACCAGCAGCTCAACCACGAACATGAGTCTTTCACGCGGGATCGGTCTTTCAGTATTTTCTTGATATGGGTTTTTTTGAGTCGGTTCTAGGGGCGGAGGTTGCCAGGCCCAAGATGAAGGGCACGAACAGAGACAGGTCTCTCTCCCTCAGAATCCTTTCAGAAAAGAAAGCAATCTCAGACGCCTCTGCTTCAGAAGCCATGGAAGTTTCTGCTAATTTCTTATTGAGAACAAATAAAGAGAGAATTTTGAGGAGAAAAAATAGAGAATGTGGGAGCCCAGGGCCGGACGCACAGAGGGATAAATGGGGTCAGGCGACCCCTGGCAGCTGAGAAAAATGGTGGTGAAGGTCTCTGGCGACCCCAAGGCGCACACCACCTGTTAGATGAAATGCGCAGAGGAGCCTCCGTGCTGCTGCCTCGCGCGAGGCCAATTTTTTTTTTATAAAAGCGCCTAGACTAACGACGCCGTTTTGGTCTAAGCGAGTTAAATTTCTTTTACAACTTGGCTTCAAAAAGGTGTCGTTTTGAGCCAGGTTTAAAATAAAAACAAAAAAACACAATTTCTGATATGATCCATTACATGACTTGAAATCTGCACTGGAAAAACACAACTCAAACCTGCACAATTAATAATTGGGTAATTTTCAGGTCAATCCGTTATTACCCGTATAATAAATGGGTGGATTTCAGGTCAACTCCCCAATCCGTTTAAATTATGTTTGACTATAATAAATATTACAATTATACCCTCAAATAAAGGACATTCTTGTAGGACCCACTCCGTAATGTATTTCACTAATCCAAACTGTCTATTTTGTAGATAATCATTCAAAGATAATCTCTTCAAAAAATCACTTGAATTCAATATCGTTTGACCACTCAATTGTGTTATTGAAATTTTAGTACTTTCTGGAAGCATCGTGTTCATTGATTTTGTAGGACATATTTGGATGTTGAAACGGTTTTCGATTTGTCTAATTTTTTGCAAGTATGATCTATGAATATAGACTTATAAAATAGATGGTTTGGATCGTTGGAAAAAAATTCGTAGGATACTCTAAAAGGTGTCCTTCAAATAAAATTATTTGAGGATCCCTTAATAGCAGGGGAATATAAATATATATATATGCCAATTTCAATTTTTAGATGTCTACGAAAGTCAGGGCAAATTCCACATAAGCATAGGCCTCCTTTCTCTGTCTTCGGATTTCTGCACCAGCTCCAAATCGTCTGAACTTTGCCCAAACGAGTGCATCATCAACCTCGCTTCCTCACCGAATGGCAAACTCGTAACAACCCTAGCGTTATCTCCGTCTTAACCAAACGGTGCGTTTTGGCTCTCAACGTCTTCGCGCGCGCCGCTCAAGCTAACGAGACTCTGGTTTTTGGTGCATGCCATGTGTTTGATGAAAGTACCTAAGGCTTCTGTGTCATTGTTTAGCTAAGGAAGAAGGTTGAATCTTTTCAAGCTGCCATGGCTGGTGAGCCAATCGTTGAAGATCAACAACGGCAACGAACTTTGAAAGCATTGGAGCGAAGGTTCGAGGCTGCCCAAGCTGAACTTGATTTACAAAAAAAGAAGACTGTAAAGAGACCAAAAACCGAGGAACCTGGAAAGAAATCGCATATCCCAACTTCTTCGGCTGTTGATTCTTCAGCAAAGTCAACCAATGCATCAGCCTCACGTTCAACGCCATCAAAGAAAGGTTTTCACCGCAAAATCTTAGCTTTGGTTTTGCTGATTTATTTCTTATTTTGTATGTTAGTTTGAATTTACTTAATTTTTATTCTTCTTGTGGCTTATTTGTAGGGGCTTTCACTTTTTCTGGTTATGTTAATTCACAAGGTACTGTTTCAGTTTTGTGGATATAAACTTCTGTTAATCTAATTTAGGTAAATTGGATTAATTTTGTGTGTTTGTATTGCTTGTAATTCCATCTGCAGATATCGACGAAAGCGGTCCAACGTATGCAAAACTCTCTCAATCTGTACATGAGAATCTGCTGACAACCAATGTTGAGGTACTTGTTTGTGAATTGATGCAAAAATTTTGCTTTAACTTGTTGGCTTAGCATCTGCTTTGCTAAATGCAGGTCTCTGGTAGAAAGGAGAGTAAAGTTGATAAGGTTTTGCACGAGCTTCTTCAGAGTGGAGACTCGGCTCAGAAGTACATGCAAGGATCCAGAAGCAAGAGAATTGACAATTGGATCCTCCTTGACAATTACGTGCAAGGACGTGGCGTTTCGACTGGCTCTCGTGCCAGGGCGTTGCAGATTCATTCGAAGCGCTCGAAAAAACGCATGTCGATCAAGCAGCAAAAAAAGCATGGATTGTTTGATTTGCCCCAAGATTTCCATTGGTGAGATTTATGTTTTTCAGCTTATGGTTGCCATGTGTGTCAATTTTATTTTGTTTTTTTTTCCATAAAATAAGTCAAAGTAAGGAAAGGTTGGGCCAAATTCTTTTTGCTGATCTTGATGACAGTCACAATTTTAAAATTCGAATTGGAATGGCTTGTTTTTACTGTTTATGATCACATTATTCTGCTTTCAGTAGCTGGAGAGATTTGTTTTGTGTGATTGATGATAAGATCTGAAGAATTTTGTTTCACTTTTTTTAGTTATATTTTGCCTTCTACTTTGAAAGATTCACCCTGATGCTTGTCTGTGTTTGGATTACAGCTTTGATAAATTTAAGCCAATGCATGAGATGTGGAAAGACTATATTGTGCAACTTCTGAAAACTACTGGGTGAGTATGTCTTGTTCTTTGCAGATGTCACAGTTATGGGCTTTTTCATGTTTAGTTAATGGTCAATAATTTTGTTCTTTCTTTCTTTCTTTCTTCAGCATTTTAGTTTTAGGGGGCAATATTCTTGGCATCTGTTTGGTCTTTGATGTTGTAATTAACTATACTTTCATTCAATACTGCAGGAAGAATCAGCTGGCTCAATGTCTTCTTACTGCAGATCTACATGGTGCTATTATTTCAGGTTTATTTCTTAATTTGTTTCGTTAACAGTTAACCATAAAGATTTTCTTGTCATGAACATATATTTTGTTCATCCACCTCAAATCAGAACTTTCCAAGTCATATCCTAAATTCTTATGACACCACATAGTGACCTATGTACCATGGCTTGTTGAAATTCCAACTCTCTGTCAGTACTTACTGTAGTTCCCTGTCTATTTTCTGGCAGTTGCTGAGTGTAAAGTAACTTCCTACACTGGAGTGAGTGGTATCATGATTCGTGAAACAGCAGAAACATTTGGGATAATTACACAGGATGATAAATTCAGAGGTAATTGAGCTGCTGATTCAAACTTTAAATTAATTAAGATGTTCTTGGTACAACTAATGTGTTGATGAAACTTTGCACTGAATGTAAACGTGCGTGCACGACAGATGATTGCTTTCTTCTCATTCTGTGAACTAATTTTGGAAATGCTGATGGTTTCATTTATCTGTTTGGGGGTTATTTGCAGTGGTGCCCAAAAGGTTTTCTGTTTTTATATTTCAAGTTGATTGCTGGAAGATTACCTTGCATGGGGACAAACTCACTTCAAGAAACTTGAGTTTGTGATTGTCTCAGGTGATCTAAGAATATTTGATAATGAATCAACTTTAATACAATCCACTTTGTTTTCATATTCAATGTAATATGATAACTTATTCCATATTCCAACCCGTGGTAAATTGCAGAATCGTCGGACTTTCAAGCAATATCATTGATAGTCATATCAGAGATTCAGTCAAGAAGTTCTGCAGAAATGCTGAGTAACAGTGAAAGTCAACTAAAAGGATCCCCTTATGTTATCAAGACATGGTGCTCTCTTGGGTGGTTCGTTGGTTTGAGTCGTTTGACAATGCTGGTTGCTGGATAAGCTGCTGAGATGGCTTTAGCACCGAACCTTTGAGAAGAGTACTGATCACAGCAGGATGGAGACTGGACTCTTGCAGGTACCAGCTGGTCTTTAGTATGCCGCTATACAAGCCATTGCTGTGCATCACAAAATTAGAATAGTTGAAGAACTCTTTGGAATCCTTTTTTGGGGGGATTGTCTTCTATATTTTTCTCTGCCTGACCTTCTGTTTGAACCACTACTGAATGGGAGTTCTTTTTTGGTTAACAAAGATCATGATGATGTATGGCATTCTCATAAATTTAGAGTTCAGGATGATATATGAGCAAAAATGAAGGCATACAGCTGTTTGCATATAAATCTATCTTTGCTTGTGGAAAACATGGATTTCCAGTCATAAGAAAATCTGTTATCCTCCTAATCATGGAAGATTTTTATTTTTGACATTATATATGATTACAAAGCATGGAAGCACGGCCTCCGAATTCAAAACCACAAGCCTTTTGGGCTCACTAAATTGCTCCCCCCATTCCATGGCAGAATTAAATTCACCATCTTCCTCATCCATGAGCCCATGTGCATGATAATGAGCAATGCACCCTGCAATCACTCTACACACCACAATGGCCTTCCTTGCACACTTTCCTTTCCCAGCACATTCCTTGGCAGCCCTCTCATGTGCCTTCCAACTGTCGTGGACGAACAAAATAGTCCTGTCTCCGATGTCAAAGCCAGAAGCTATTATCCTGCAAACTTGGCAGCATTTCTTTTTACAAATGGTTATAAGTCATTGATCCCTAATGAACAAACGAATCCGATCCTTTTCGTACTTGGATTTCACCATCTTCCTATACTCTTCAAAACCATGAAGAACATCCAAACTGTGGTGCACCCTCAACACCTTCTCAATTCTGAGGCCTACTTCACCAACCCAACATGAGCGGATAATACTCTCCACAACACCAATGGAAGGGTACCCTCCAGCAAGCTCCGAGATCAAGTTAATGGGTTTTTAGGCTTTTGTCTTTGTGCTCTTTCTGGACTTGCTTGCAGATGATGAAGAAGAAGAAGCTGCCTTGGGGCACAGTTTTTCCTTGGGTTTTGAAGGCACTTCCTTTCCAATTACAACACCATGTCGTTTTGAACCCTTTGGTGGAGAAGCAGAAAGGGTCTTCTGGTTTTTGTTTTTGTGGGGATCTGGGTCGTGGCTTGGGCTTGAAACACTTTATGGTGGAGCTTGGATGGCAAACCAGAGCAGCGAGAGAAGCAGCAATCAGGCACCTTTCCACCATGCTTTTCTTTGTGAAAGTAACCATTTCTGTGCACCAAAGTGCACTCAAAAGATTTTTAAAACTCAGATTCAAGTATGATTCTCAAACCTATCAATTGCATCAAAATGCAAACAAATCATGGCCATCAAATTTATTTATCATCCCTGTTGTATGTCGTACAATGTAAACAAAAAGAGAGAAGAAAAACAAGAGCAGGATGTTCATCCCTGAATGGTATGATCATAAAATTCACAACTCAAGTGTCATTTTTTCTTTCAACGGGATGCAATCCGAAAACCCAACTACGATATGCCAATACTGCGTGTTCTATCATTTGCCATACTTCTGTTTCAGCCGTTCTCTCACAAACTCATTTCGAGCTTTGGTTCGAGCTTGTTGTGGGGCAACGTTGACATAAGATATATGAGCACCAAAAGCAAAAAGAGCAGCAGCAGAAATGAAGCATCCTATTGTCATGGCCAACCTCTTGGGCGTGGATGGAAAGCAAACCACCATTTCCTCGGACCTTTGCTTGCAAATTTCCCTATGCAATGCAACAAACAAGAAACACAATCTCACAAGCCAAACTTATAGAACAAAGCGGTTCCAAATGAAATTCTATGCAGATATAAACTTATGTGAGTCAACTACCCATTACTTGTACAAAGAAAAAGAAAACATACGCAATGAGTTCTAAGAACAAACATCTCTGTGTGGCATTTCATCATATACATAGAGGGTACTCCATATTGGTGATTTAAGCAGTGAATTAAGCTGATACTCGTTTTATTTGAGAGACAATTGATGAGAGCTCAATATCGGTCAAAGAGAAATCGTACCTGACAGAGAGAGAGAGCTACGCCTTTGGAATACAACGCGGAGGCTCAGGCAGAGCAAGGAAAGACGACGCAGAGAAAGCTTTTGCCTTGACCACGGAAAGAGACCAAGAAGTCAATCTGCTTTGCGATGTCACTTAACTGTAACATACCAGAATTCAAATTTCTTGTTGTTGTTGTCAATTCTCTTTTATAGATGGATCACATTTCACATATCATATAAAAGAATTGAGAAAAAAAAAAATGATTAGAGTTTGAGGCCTTTCCCAAATTTATAATAGCAAACAGCTCATCAATTGCAATACCCTAAATTGGAGACTATAAGCCACTACAGCAAGGATGATTAATATTGGACTTGCAACCAACAACTTTGTGGGTATTTTGCCAACTAGGGTTGGTTCATTTGGTAAAGTCCTTACACTGTGTAGTGCCATTAGTGTTCGATAGTGCGCGATCTGTAATTTCCTACATAAATTCATACTCAGGGCAGCTGACAGTTGGGTGCCACACGTAAATTCTTCTGGCTTGGGATTGTGGATCTGCCTCGGCACTGGTGGTGAGAGTAGCCAATCGCTGTAGATCTCTTTTAATGAGAGTAAAAAGAGACTATATTGTTATTCCTTAATGTGGTTTAATGGCTTAGGGTTTAAGATTTGGGATTTAGGATTTAGCTTTAGGTTTCTTGGTTTAGCAGTTTAAGAAGGGAGGGCTACCACTTAGTAGTGTAGCTTAAATTTAGTGGTTATTACCGAAAACCCGATCGAACCGCCCGAATCGGACCGCTTTAAGTGGTTTGGTTTGGTTTTTATAGTTAAAAATGCAAGAACTAGTAAAAACACGGCCGAACCGGCCAAGAATCGGGCTAAACCGATTTAATTTTCTCCAAACCGGTGAAAACCGGACCGGACCGAACTATTTTAATTATATATAATTTTTTTTAAATAATACACATGGCAGCGGCTGATTCGTCCATTTTATCCCAAGCGTAAGCCTTCCCACACCCTATTGCTTGCGAAACCCTAACATTTCAACTGCTCAAAAATTTTTTTCACTTCGCTCTCTGCTCTGCCTCTCTTCTTCTTCGAGTCTTTGTTCTTCTTCGAGTCGCCAAACCCTAACACCAGATCTACCTCTCACTCAACCTTCTCTCCCCAAACCAAATCATTGACTTCTTCTTCCACGATCGCCTCTCTTCTTCTTCGTGGCTTTCTCTCAGTCATGCTCGCTCTCTCTCTCAGTCAAACTCGCTCTCTCTCTCTCTCTCTCTCTCTCTCTCTCTCTCTCTCAGTGACTCGCACTCTCTCTCGCTCTCTCTGTCTCTGTCTCTGTCACTCTTACTCTCTCTCTCTCTCTCTGTCACTCTTACTCTCTCTCAGTTTTGAGTTTTCCTCACTTGAATTTTTCTGTCAAATTGAGCCGCGAATTCTCATGAACGAGTTAGGGTTTTGAGGTACTAATATCTCAAATACATGATTCAAAAATTTAGGGCTTTGAGAATTTATATTGATTTTGTCTGACTATGTTGTGATTTTATTTTCTGGACAGATTGATTTTGAAGGCAGAGGAAAGGATTGGCTTGTTGCTGGTTGTGCTTTGATTTCTGGTAAATTTCTGAGTTTTTTTGGTTCTTGGTTTAGTTGTTATTTTTGGCTGCTGGTTGTGCTTTGATTTCTGGTAAATCTCTGAGTTTTTTTGGTTCTTGTTAGTTGTTATTTTTGGCTGCTACTTTATTTGTAGTTTACAGAAATAGAATTGTAGTTTACTAATATCATGAACTAGCAATTTCAGTAGTTGACAAAAATGTGTTCTTGGATTAGTTGTTATTTTTGGCTGCTGCTTTATTTGTAGTTTACAGAAATAGAATTGTAGTTTACTAATATCATGAACTAGCAATTTCAGTAGTTGACAAAAATGTGTTCTTGGTTTAGTTGTTATTTTTGGCTACTGCTTTATTTGATTTCTGGTAAATCTATGAGTTTTTTTGGTTCTTGGTTTAGTTGTTATTTTTGGCTGCTGCTTTATTTGTAGTTTACAGAAATAGAATTGTAGTTTACTAATATCATGAACTAGCAATTTCAGTAGTTGACAAAAATGTGGCGTAGGGTATTATTTTCATGGAAGGACAATCTGAA